CCACCGCGCCCCGGGACTCCTCGCCAGAATGGACCCGAGAGCGCCCGGCGTGAGTCCCAGGAGTCGGATCGGGAGTCCAGGGTCCATCCTTAGCTCCAGCTGACAGCTGTGAGGGCTGCGGGGTGGCCATGCCCTAGAGAAAGTGGGGTGGGGGGAGAATAACGCCCGTCAAAGGTCCCTAGGAAACTGGTTCCGCAGACACTTGTTTTCTTCACGGGCTGCATCTGGGACGCACGAGGGAGCGTGATTGGATTGGATACAGCTTGGCTTGCTCGGCGTTTTGTATGCGCTATTTCATCTACCCAAACAGATCGTGAAGTCTTTGCCAGGGCATGGTATGCCATGCTTGCCTGGATGCTCTGGGATGCGTGTGGTGATGGCGCAGACCATCCGGCCATTTCTGGCCCGACCGGAGGTGGGTAATTCAGTCACAACCCCAGTGAAATGAAATATTGGTCCGAGGCTGACTAGCAGGCAGAGTTTTATATCTGATTTAACTTTTCTAAACCTTGCTTTCCTTAAACAATTGACAGCACCGATGTCACACAGCAGCAGTAGAGGGATAGGTAGCCTGGCCGGCCTCTCCTGATGGGAAGAGAGACAGGGATCAAGAAACCAGGAGCTCCTGGGTGGGAGAGTAGGATCTGCATTTTGTGAAGGTTAAGGAACACTATTGTCACAGCAGAGAAGTGGACTACAGAATGGACCCTTGAGAAAGGGCCAGGAGCCCCTTTCCCTTGGCTCTCCTCAAGAAAGCCTAGAGTGTGAGAAAGCAGACCAGGTTAGCACCCAAGATGTGAAGCAGAAGCTAGGTGGTACGCGCCTATAATCCCAAAATTTGGGAAACTGAGGCAGAGGATCCCTCTGGGTTGGCTGCCAGTGTGGGTCACACAGTGAGGTCAAGGCCAGCTTGAATAACATAAAAAGAACTCAAAGCAAACCCTGCAGCTAAAGCTAACACAGTCTATTTACTTCTTGTAGATTTTATGTCCCTCTGGGTTGGAGAGGGAGAGGACAGTGGGCCAGGGGCCCCTGGTGTAAATTTATATGGGAAAGGGCAAGTCTTTTAGATGCAACTCTGTAATATTAGGATTATGAATGGGGAACTAAAGCCTACAGAATCCCAGGAAAGATAAGGGAGAAGATTCTTTGTTCATTTTCTGATGCTGTAACAAAATACACGAGACCACAGAATTTATAGAGTAGAAGTCCGATTGGCTTAGGAGGGCTGGGGACTCCAAGAACCAGGGCCAGCGTCTGATGCTCAGAGTCTGGTGAGGGCTTTCTTTCTTGTTGTACTGTAAGATGGGAAGGACATTGGGCATCCTATGGTGAGGCAATACACTTGCTAGCTCTAGGCTCTTCCTCTTTTAAGGTTACCAACGTCATAATGAGGACATCCCTCTATGATCCAATCCTAATTAACTATCCCCAAATACCCCACCTGCAATTCCATTAACTTAGGAATTTGGGTATTGTTTCTGACATGGATTTTGGGAGAAACTTTCAAACCACAGAAGATACTAATGATCTAATTACTAGTAATCTAATCTGAGAGGTGAGATTACGGAGAGAGAATAGATCTTTAGTGTACGTGCATGAAAAAATAAACCCATTTTCCACCTATAAAACCATGAGGGAGAACAAAGAATCATCACTGTAGGCCTACTTAGATTGTAACAATCTAGTATAGTTTGTGACAGCAGAGAGAATTAGAAAGCTGTTTTCTTTTCCCCACATCTACTGTTGTTGGTTCTACAGAAGAAATGTCAAATGGTTCCTATCCTCGGAGTGTATTTTCTAGCTGCAAAGGAAAAAAACAGAGATGTTTAATAAGAGGAGAAGGAAGAGGAAGAGGAGGAGGAGGAGGAACAGTCTCCAGTGCTACAGATATACTACTGTGTCACAATTTTACAGTAACCATTTAATAGAACTGGTTTCCTTTGTAATCATATGTACCTTATTTTACACATTTATTATTCTGAGAGGGGAATCGAATTGCCAGAAGGGTTGAGGGGGTCTTAAAACAAGCTGAAAAACTCCTGAACTCTAAATATACATGTGGTAGAAGGAAGTGTCTCTCATTCTTCAGGGCCTAATCCAGTTACCAAACACAAATGCACCAACAGAGTCAGACACTTAGCATTCCATTTGTAGGTGGTGGTTCTTCCCCTCTGTCTGCAGGACTAAGAAGATGCAAACGCTTAGTTAGGAGGCAGAACTTCTTCACACCCACCTCTCTTCAACAGATAGCCCCAAACACAGCAGCTTTAATAACCCATTTCTTTGTTTTAATGGAAGACATTAAACAGTTAAAGGCCTAGGAAAAGATACATCTGAGAAGGCAAGGCTCAAAATCCTAGAGAGGGGAAAATCTGTTGCTAAGGCAGACATGAAGAATGGGCTTATGGCGATTCTCCTGCCTCAGCCTCCTGAGTGCTGGGATTATAGGTGTCCACCACCATGCCTGACTGTTTTGTGTAGTACTGGGGATTGAATTTAGGTTCTTTGCATGATTATAGGTGTCCACCACCATGCCTGACTGTTTTGTGTAGTACTGGGGATTGAATTTAGGTTCTTTGCACTGAGGTATATCCCCAGCCCCTCCCCTTTGTGTGTGTGTGTGTGTGTGTGTGTGACAAAACCTTGCTAATTTTCCCAGGCTGGGCTTGTGATCCTCTTGCCTCAGCCTCCCAGAGCTCTGGGAATACAGTGGTATACCACCACCCCTGGCTTGTGTTACATATTTGGTCCTTCCTTTAATTAATCCCTTACAGATGCTGGGAGGTTGCAAGTTTGGGGTTCGAAAGATAAAGGATTCTCATCTGTCTCCCAGAAGTGGGAGGCAAGATCACTACTCAGAGAATAGGAGAGATGGAGAAAAACATAAGAATAGTATGCAAATATCACTTTGCAGCTGACGAAGTGATTTGTGTGTGTGTGTGGTGGTGCTGAGGATTGAACCCAAGGCCATCTGCCTGTGCATGTTACACAAGCACTGTACTACTAAGCTACATTCCCAGCACCTCCTCTTTTCAGTTTGATTTTGAGATAGGGTCTTGCTAAACTACTCAGGCTTGCCATTGTCCTGCCTCAGTCTCCTGAGTAGCCAGGATTGAGGGTGTGCTGTGGATCCTGGCCATTCAATTCTTACAATAGCCCTATAAGGAAGATATTATCTCAGCATTTCAGTTGAGAAGTCTGGGGCTTAGAGGTCTATTAA